CGGTCTTCGACGAGCTTAAAAACATTTTGAGTTCACCCCCAATGCTTCAGCTCGCAGTCCATCTCAATCGTTCAAAGTCGTAACGGACATCAGCGATTTCGCCGTCGGCGCCGTCCTACTAGAGAACTTCAGCAATGGGCTGCAACTCATCGCGTACGAGTTACGCAAGATGCAGCCACCCGAGCGCAACCACCCTATACACGACAAAGAAATGCTGGCCATCGTCCACGCGTTTCGTACCTAGCATTGCTACCTCACGGGAGCCAACGTTACGATCAAGACAGACCACAAGTCATCACAGTACACGCGCAGCCAGCCACGGCTCAACCCGCGACAAATCAGGTGGCTCGGCTACCTGGAATCGAATTTCTGATACACCATCACGTACAATAAGGGCGCCAATAGCGTTGCCGACTCCCTCACTCGCCCATCAATGCAGACCGCCGCTGTACCCATCGCCCATTCCAACCCGCTTTTATCGGGAGTATTCGCCCACAGATACAGGATCGACCGCTTCTTTAAGCAAAATCACCAACACCGAGCTACGACGCCGCATGGGAATTACTACCTAAAAGCCGGTACGAACCGGGTTTGGGTCCCGTCATACCGGCCCTTATGAGAGGTGCTGACGCAGGAGGTTCTTGACTCTAACCTATCCGGGCATTTCGGCATCGACAAAACACTGAAGATGCTGCAGCGGATTATTTATTGGCCCTACATGACGTCGGACGTGCAACGCTACGTGACAATCTGCCCGACCTGCCAAGCTATGAAGTCGTTGACAACGCCCAGCTGGATTGTTGCAGCCACCCGAGCCACCCGAACGACCGTGGCAATAGGTGACGATGGATTTCGTCACAGGACTGCCCGCTGGCGCAAGTGGCAACGATTCGATTTTTGTCGTCGTTGACCGATTAACGAAAATGGCGCATTTCGCACCATGCCGCACGACGATCACAGCCAAAGAAACAGAGAAGCTGTTCATCTCAACCATCGTACGCCTAGACGGGTTACCTCCGGCGATCATCAGCGATCGGGATCCGAAATGCACGCCTCCGTAAGAGTCCGCGGATTATCATCGCCCATGGTTGCAAAGCAATATGCTGCACTCACCTCACCCAACTCTCCAACTGCTACCGTAGCAAAGTCAGCGTACTTGGGGTTGTGGTGAGGTCTACGACGCTTGTGGGTCTTAGGGTTTAGTGGTGGGGAGGAAGGTGTGGAAGAAGCTGTCACTACGGTTGGTGGCACCTCCACAACGTCATCGGCAGTGTTCTGCAGCCACATGACGAGGGCCGGAGAAGGGCGAGAGAAGGGAAATGGCAAGGGTTTCGACGTTGGGTCCGATGTCGACATCACCCCAGCCAGATAACAACCGAAAGTGGGAAGTTTTTTTAGCACGGGTGGAAGGTTTTTATGGTAAATGAAGAACTTACACACTCAATTTTGCTTGGCCAAAAGAGGGGTAGATCATTCGGGGAGAATGCAGAACCAGGGTATCTAATTGTGCGTGGGTGTTATGAGTTAACAAACCACCAGCACGCACAACTGCCAGTTCTCCAAGAAAGTAGGCTCAAAATTGCCAACAGACAAGCAACTCACATGGAGCAGCAGAATGGATAGCGATAGTTTTGATCCGCAAGTAGTAGTTAACAGGAACATAGTAAAGAAGCATTATAAACTAGCCGTTACGACATTCATTAACCGGATCCTAGGGGACATTCTTGGCAACCTTTGGCAATCTACCATGCTCTACACCGTTTTAAAATTTGTCGGTGGCTTCCAGAGAAACCCTAAACACGATCCAGACAGAGGACGTTCTGCATATGTAAGACACCTTCTAGAGGGTCATTCTGGCCTTGCTTATGGAGTCATGCGCATGGAACCACCCCTAGTCTCAAAACTGGCAAGCATTCTTGTTGAGAAGGGCCTGTTATCCAACGACCATAGTGTGAGCCCTGAAGAGCAGGTTTTGACATTCCTCCAGTTTGTGGGTCAAGTTGCATCCAATAGATCATTGCAAGAAGCATGGCAGCGGAGTGGGAGTCGCTACGATGATTACATCAGCATGCCCACTCGTGCCGATGACTCCATCATAGAAGCCAACCAACGATACAGACAATTCAGTGGAGCAATTGGTGCCGTGGATGGAACCCTCATCCCCCCATGCATACGCTGGAGTGAGCAGCGGTCTTGGCTGGACCGACATAAGAATGTTTCCCAGAATGTCCTTGCGGCTGTCTCGTTCAGAGGTGAATTCATTTACCTCCTGGTCGGCTGGGAGGGCTCCACCCATGACTCAATCTTGTTCCAGGATGCCGTGAATCGAGGACTGACGCTTCCCGCCAACATGTTCCCGCTGGCCGGTTCTGGCTTTCTTAACGACATGAACCTTTTGGCGCCATACAGATCCCGAAAGCATTATCTGGCAAGAATCTGGCTTCACCCCCCAGAATAAGAAAAAGGTGTTCAGTAGAGTGCATTCTGGATTAAGGTCGATCGTAGAGCATACATTTGGACAGCTGGAGGCGCGCTTCCCTATATTGCACGTTAGGCCTTATTCATTCTCTATCCAATGTTTCTTCGTCCAAGCATGCTGCATTCTACATAATTTCATAAAGCGAGAGGGTGGCGCTGATTTCCTCAATGCAACCATTCCTCAACAAAGCATGGAGCATGGCGAAAATGAAGAGCCTTTAAATCCATCATCATTGGCAAGGCCTACAAGTCTCACAGAGTTTTCAAGGATTGGTGCTAGGCGCCGTGAGCGCATTGCTCATGCACTGTGGCAGGAGTTTAGTGGTTCTTAGACCATGCATTCTGACCTTGCATTGAAACAATTATATTGCTGACATTATGTGAATTGGAAATATAATGAAGGGTCGACCGCATCAGCCTCATCAAACAACCAATCAAATAATCATGCGGGGCCATGCCGATACCAGGCAGCCAACCACACACGAAGAAACATCCAGCAGTGACTGACACACATGCACGTTGGCAGAGCACGTCCACCTCTGAGAACATGCACACGGACAGCCCTGGTTGGTGCCTTGCAGGTACTCCACAGCACATGTGAAAAAAGTGGGACAAGCGTGCTTAGTCAGAGTCAAACAGGAACGTGAACAAGTATGAGTGCAAAGGTACTTTGGGGGATCATGTTTGTAACGCAGCCGCAGTAATTCTTTAAAAGAGGAATGATGAAGAGGGACGAGGAAGGTGTTTGGCTGAGATGCATCACATACCCGGGGATAGTACACCTCTTGCGTTCAGTTGCCGGCGTCACTGACGGAATTGCTGCCGGTTCCACTAACGTAGGTGCGTCGGCTGTCTTCGCACATGTGGAGGAAGCCGGCTGCCTCGACATGGTTTTTTAAAATATCCTGAAAACCCCGACCTTTTGATTAGACGACAAACCATCCATTGCCTCAACCTTCTCGATGGCTTTGCCCACGTCTTCAAACTCATCTTCAACCATGCAATATGGGTGTGAACATGACACAGCACCAGGTATGGACAAGTTTAATAAAGAGATCTAAACCAAAAGACAGCCGACTGTGGTGCTACTGCTCATACAAAGAAGGTTCAATAGTGCTGTCTAACAAACGACTTTACACACTGCTCACCTTTCAGACGAATGGTGAAGCCGCGTTCAGTTGCTACAGTGAGAGCTTCCAGCTGCCGCACCACCCTGCTGCTCTCGATCCTCTTGCGCTTCTTGTGCGCACCAGACGGCGACGACATGGAGAGCACATGTGAGGCAGGGATCGGTGTGTTTTGTCCTGCTCAGGTAGCCCTACAACCCCGACCGTCCCCAGAGTGCGAAGTAGGGCTCATCGGGTCCGCCTGTGACCCCTCCGACCCCCTATCCGTCCCACCAGTATGCACACCAGCGTGTGGGAGCTCCTGTAAAGGGATCTCAGGTTCTTACTCTGGCTGCCCTTGCTGCTGACCTGTGTCTGTAGCTCTAGAGGGGATGTCTTGAACGCTAACACTCGGGTTCACATCCGATTCGTCGTCGTCACCTTCCTTGCCTGGATCGTCACAGAACACGCACCCCAACGTATTTCGGGACGCAGGGTACTGGCCGCGTGCACCACCAAGGTGCACGATCTGCTCGGCCAGCGGGAACCACGGAACCAAGCGGCGCTTCCACCGCTTGCCGTGCTGCCAGCGCGGCAACGTCGCTCCATTATCCCAAGATGAAGCTGAAAATTCAGGGGAAAACTGAATTAGCACATTAATGGCAGTATAAACATGTGGCATAGATGGTCAGGACAATGTCATTCGTATCTTGACGAGTGCGCATTCCGAAAATGCACATACATGCCTTCAGGGGACTTCCTCTCCGACTTAACAGCTCTGCAACTTACCTCGGGGTCGGAATCGAAGAAATTGGGGACTGGGTTCCAATGCACGCCGGTGGGGAACATGTTATGGAGGTATTTGATGTCTTCGCTCAGCTTCTGACTTGTTTGACGTGATTCTTAAGCCGAGCTTGAATATAAGTGGCAAGCCCGTGAGCGCCGCGCCACCTGCGATGGATTTCCGACCAGTTCGTGATAACCGCATGCGGGGCTAGCCCCTGGTCCATTTGCACTTCTATCACGATTGAGAGCAGGGAGGGCCTTTAGGTCGTCAATCCACCCTATCTTGGAAGTGAGAAGAAACGAGGAATGGAAATGACTAGGTGAAAGTTGGGTACAAGAAGCAAACCCTAGAAATCCTGTACCCCATATGTGCTACCCCACTATAGCCTACAGTAGCTATGTCATATAAATCTGACACACCCCCATAAGCAAAGTGGGGGAGAACAAGGGGTCACAAGACCAGTCAAGCAAAGCAAAGGAAAACAAGCTCAGGGTGGATCACAAAGTCACCACACATTCCGAGCACAAGTTCAAGGCCACAAGGCCAGTTCACAAGCAGGAGTACACGTATATATAAAAAGGCTAGACAAACAAGAGCAGGTATATATATATGTAACAGTACAAGCAAGGTCAAGAGGTGAGCAAGTGAGGCAAGGTAGGCACAAGGCCCAGCTGAGTACAGAAGCGCTGATGGTCACAAGGCGCAAGTGCCTTGGTGAAGATATCAGCAGTGTTGGCCTCAGAGGCCACGTACGCAAGACGCAGCTGACCACGCTGCTGCAGCTCACGAGCAAGAAAGTAGCGGAGAGCAATGTGCTTCGTTCTGTGCTCCAGTCGCTGCTCCCGACACAAGGCCAGCATGGCCTTGTTGTCTACGTACAGCACTGGAGGAGAACGAGGCAACTCTCCGAGGTCAGTCAGCAGGTAGGTGAGCCAGCGAAGCTCCTGTGCAGCCATGGCTCCTGCGTAGATCTCAGCCTCACAACTGGAGCCGAGAACAGAAGACGAGCGAGTAGCCCGCCACGAAACAGAGCCGGAACCAAGGCTGAAGGTGTAACCCTGTGACGACCGCTGCGTAGCCTGGTCGTCAGCCCAAGAAGCGTCTGCGTGCCCAGTAAGGACCACTGGACTCTGCCCTCCAAGCACAAGCCCCATGCCCGACGTACTGCACAAGTAGCGCAACACCCTCTTCGCTGCAGCCATGTGCTCCGGTCTGTGTCTCCCAGGAGCAACATAGCGTGCAAGAATGCTAAGAGGGTATGCAAGGTCAGGTCGTGTGCAGGTCATCAGGTACATGAGGCAGCCAACAAGCTCTGGGTACGGGCCACTCGACTCTACGGACTCATCCGAAGGCAGAGCTGAGAGCGAGTGGCGAGTAGGCATAGGAGTGGCCTGAGGCGAGGAGTACGTGAAGCCGAAGTGCTGAAGGACCTGCTGCACCATGTGTGACTGAGTCAGGGTAATGGTGCGGCGTGCTCTGTCCCGAGTGATCTGCAAGCCAAGGTAGCTGCGCAGTTCACCCAAGTCAGTGCACACGTGTCTCTTCTGCAGCTCGGACTTCACGTGGGCTAGTCCAGCAGTGTCAGCTGTGGCAAAGACCAAGTCGTCGACGTACACGAGGATGTAGAACGGCGGCAAAGAAGTGTCGGTGCGTAGAAACAGCGACGGGTCGGCAGTAGAGGGAGCAAACCCAAGAGCCGCAAGTGTAGTCCTCAGTGTGTCGTGCCACTCACGCGGTGCCTGGCGGAGACCGTAGACTGGCCACCGTAGGCTCCACTGGGTGCCAGGAGGAAAAGACCCAGTGAAGCCAGGTGGGCGACGCAGCCAGATCTCCTCGTGCAGGCTGCCCTGCAAGAAAGCAGTGCTGAAGTCAAGAGAGTGTAGCTCGTAGTCACGGTGAGCAGCTACGTGCAGCAGTACCCGAAGAGTGGTCATCTTCGGGGTGGGAGAGAAGGTCTGAAAGTAGTCAACTCCCTGCTGCTGACTGAAGCCACGAGCCACGTAACGCGCCTTGAAGACAGGCGGAGAACCCGGCGGTCGCTTCACCCTGAAAATCCACATGCCACTGACGATGTTCGCCCCAGGCGGGGGAACCTCGTCAACGTAGGTGCCTGTGGACTTCCAGGAAGCCATCTCTGCGTCCATAGCTGCCTGCCACTGAGAGGAGTAGGGACCCTCTATCGCCTCCGCGTAAGAGCGCGGAGTCGGGATGTCAAGTGCATCCGGGTCTCCCTCAGGGGTAAGCAGTACGGACACGAGATGAGGTGAAGCAGCGGCCAAGCACTGGAACTCCTCCTGCCTGTCCTCAAGGACGTCCGTGCCAAGGGCACACTCACCCCCGACGGACGGAGGACAGACAGACTCAGACTCAGCAACAAGACTGGCGACGTAGTCTAGGCGACAGCGAGCAGCAAAGTCGACGAGCTCAGCAACTAGAGCAGACGCAGCAGTGGACTCAAAGGAAGGGTCAGTGACAACCGTAGCAAGGAGACGCGTGACAGTAGGACTGGCAGCGCGAAGAGAGTCCGACTCCGGGTCGGCAAGAGTAGGAAGAGAAGACTCAGGAGGAGAAGGCAAAGGGGCACGCAGAGGAGCAGTGGACGGACGCAGAGACATCCGGTGCGTGCCAGGGACAGGAGGAGGACGCTGACGCGAACCGCGACCACTAGTGCTAGCAGCACGGACAGGCGACGCAGGGCGAGACGCAGGCTCACGACGCTCAGCAAGACCTCCAGTAGGACCAGTGTAGGGAGACGGAGCAGGCAGTGGGGAGGCCGGCTGTAACTGTAACTGCGACGGGACAGGCTGTGGACACTCTAAGGGAGGAGGAGGAGGACCAGTAGAAGGCGGGAGACCAAGAACCTGCTGAAGGAGCGGAACGAAGTACGGCCGAGGCCGCGCGGCGACTCCAGACACAGGAGGGACAGCACCAGCACCCCCAGGGGCAGCACCAGCACCAGTAGCAGCTCCAGCTCCAGAACCCCCAGCAGCACCAGTAGTACCCCCAGCAGGACCGCCTCCAGGACCGACAGCAGTAGCCTCCGCGCCAACACCCGCAGCAACTCCAGCTCCAGAAGTACCCGCAGGTCCAGCAGCTCCAGTACTCCCAGTACGAGCACCGCCGGGACCCGTGGCACCAGCTCCCTCAGAAGCAACAGAACCTCCAGTACCCGCAGCACCTCCAGCTCCAGCAGCTCCAGCAGCTCGCCTCCAGCGCCGGGCAAACCACTCATGCAGCTCCTAGGGAGAGAGTGGCTCCCGGCGAGAGGGAGCACCCGGTGAACCGCCAGGCACAGCACCACCAGGCGTAGCACCCCCAGGCTCAGCACCTCCAGGCGTAGTACCCCCAAGTAGTAGTTAACAGGAACATAGTAAAGAAGCATTATAAACTAGCCGTTACGACATTCATTAACCGGATCCTAGGGGACATTCTTGGCAACTTTTGGCAATCTACCATGCTCTACACCGTTTTAAAATTTGTCGGTGGCTTCCAGAGAAACCCTAAACACGATCCAGACAGAGGACGTTCTGCATATGTAACACACCTTCTAGAGGGTCATTCTGGCCTTGCTTATGGAGTCATGCGCATGGAACCACCCCTAGTCTCAAAACTGGCAAGCATTCTTGTTGAGAAGGGCCTGTTATCCAACGACCATAGTGTGAGCCCTGAAGAGCAGGTTTTGACATTCCTCCAGTTTGTGGGTCAAGTTGCATCCAATAGATCATTGCAAGAAGCATGGCAGCGGAGTGGGAGTCGCTACGATGATTACATCAGCATGCCCACTCGTGCCGATGACTCCATCATAGAAGCCAACCAACGATACAGACAATTCAGTGGAGCAATTGGTGCCGTGGATGGAACCCTCATCCCCCCATGCATACGCTGGAGTGAGCAGCGGTCTTGGCTGGACCGACATAAGAATGTTTCCCAGAATGACCTTGCGGCTGTCTCGTTCAGAGGTGAATTCATTTACCTCCTGGTCGGCTGGGAGGGCTCCACCCATGACTCAATCTTGTTCCAGGATGCCGTGAATCGAGGACTGACGCTTCCCGCCAACATGTTCCCGCTGGCCGGTTCTGGCTTTCTTAACGACATGAACCTTTTGGCGCCATACAGATCCCGAAAGCATTATCTGGCAAGAATCTGGCTTCACCCCCCAGAATAAGAAAAAGGTGTTCAGTAGAGTGCATTCTGGATTAAGGTCGATCGTAGAGCATACATTTGGACAGCTGGAGGCGCGCTTCCCTATATTGCACGTTAGGCCTTATTCATTCTCTATCCAATGTTTCTTCGTCCAAGCATGCTGCATTCTACATAATTTCATAAAGCGAGAGGGTGGCGCTGATTTCCTCAATGCAACCATTCCTCAACAAAGCATGGAGCATGGCGAAAATGAAGAGCCTTTAAATCCATCATCATTGGCAAGGCCTACAAGTCTCACAGAGTTTTCAAGGATTGGTGCTAGGCGCCGTGAGCGCATTGCTCATGCACTGTGGCAGGAGTTTAGTGGTTCTTAGACCATGCATTCTGACCTTGCATTGAAACAATTATATTGCTGACATTATGTGAATTGGAAATATAATGAAGGGTCGACCGCATCAGCCTCATCAAACAACCAATCAAATAATCATGCGGGGCCATGCCGATACCAGGCAGCCAACCACACACGAAGAAACATCCAGCAGTGACTGACACACATGCACGTTGGCAGAGCACGTCCACCTCTGAGAACATGCACACGGACAGCCCTGGTTGGTGCCTTGCAGGTACTCCACAGCACATGTGAAAAAAGTGGGACAAGCGTGCTTAGTCAGAGTCAAACAGGAACGTGAACAAGTATGAGTGCAAAGGTACTTTGGGGGATCATGTTTGTAACGCAGCCGCAGTAATTCTTTAAAAGAGGAATGATGAAGAGGGACGAGGAAGGTGTTTGGCTGAGATGCATCACATACCCGGGGATAGTACACCTCTTGCGTTCAGTTGCCGGCGTCACTGACGGAATTGCTGCCGGTTCCACTAACGTAGGTGCGTCGGCTGTCTTCGCACATGTGGAGGAAGCCGGCTGCCTCGACATGGTTTTTTAAAATATCCTGAAAACCCCGACCTTTTGATTAGACGACAAACCATCCATTGCCTCAACCTTCTCGATGGCTTTGCCCACGTCTTCAAACTCATCTTCAACCATGCAATATGGGTGTGAACATGACACAGCACCAGGTATGGACAAGTTTAATAAAGAGATCTAAACCAAAAGACAGCCGACTGTGGTGCTACTGCTCATACAAAGAAGGTTCAATAGTGCTGTCTAACAAACGACTTTACACACTGCTCACCTTTCAGACGAATGGTGAAGCCGCGTTCAGTTGCTACAGTGAGAGCTTCCAGCTGCCGCACCACCCTGCTGCTCTCGATCCTCTTGCGCTTCTTGTGCGCACCAGACGGCGACGACATGGAGAGCACATGTGAGGCAGGGATCGGTGTGTTTTGTCCTGCTCAGGTAGCCCTACAACCCCGACCGTCCCCAGAGTGCGAAGTAGGGCTCATCGGGTCCGCCTGTGACCCCTCCGACCCCCTATCCGTCCCACCAGTATGCACACCAGCGTGTGGGAGCTCCTGTAAAGGGATCTCAGGTTCTTACTCTGGCTGCCCTTGCTGCTGACCTGTGTCTGTAGCTCTAGAGGGGATGTCTTGAACGCTAACACTCGGGTTCACATCCGATTCGTCGTCGTCACCTTCCTTGCCTGGATCGTCACAGAACACGCACCCCAACGTATTTCGGGACGCAGGGTACTGGCCGCGTGCACCACCAAGGTGCACGATCTGCTCGGCCAGCGGGAACCACGGAACCAAGCGGCGCTTCCACCGCTTGCCGTGCTGCCAGCGCGGCAACGTCGCTCCATTATCCCAAGATGAAGCTGAAAATTCAGGGGAAAACTGAATTAGCACATTAATGGCAGTATAAACATGTGGCATAGATGGTCAGGACAATGTCATTCGTATCTTGACGAGTGCGCATTCCGAAAATGCACATACATGCCTTCAGGGGACTTCCTCTCCGACTTAACAGCTCTGCAACTTACCTCGGGGTCGGAATCGAAGAAATTGGGGACTGGGTTCCAATGCACGCCGGTGGGGAACATGTTATGGAGGTATTTGATGTCTTCGCTCAGCTTCTGACTTGTTTGACGTGATTCTTAAGCCGAGCTTGAATATAAGTGGCAAGCCCGTGAGCGCCGCGCCACCTGCGATGGATTTCCGACCAGTTCGTGATAACCGCATGCGGGGCTAGCCCCTGGTCCATTTGCACTTCTATCACGATTGAGAGCAGGGAGGGCCTTTAGGTCGTCAATCCACCCTATCTTGGAAGTGAGAAGAAACGAGGAATGGAAATGACTAGGTGAAAGTTGGGTACAAGAAGCAAACCCTAGAAATCCTGTACCCCATATGTGCTACCCCACTATAGCCTACAGTAGCTATGTCATATAAATCTGACACACCCCCATAAGCAAAGTGGGGGAGAACAAGGGGTCACAAGACCAGTCAAGCAAAGCAAAGGAAAACAAGCTCAGGGTGGATCACAAAGTCACCACACATTCCGAGCACAAGTTCAAGGCCACAAGGCCAGTTCACAAGCAGGAGTACACGTATATATAAAAAGGCTAGACAAACAAGAGCAGGTATATATATATGTAACAGTACAAGCAAGGTCAAGAGGTGAGCAAGTGAGGCAAGGTAGGCACAAGGCCCAGCTGAGTACAGAAGCGCTGATGGTCACAAGGCGCAAGTGCCTTGGTGAAGATATCAGCAGTGTTGGCCTCAGAGGCCACGTACGCAAGACGCAGCTGACCACGCTGCTGCAGCTCACGAGCAAGAAAGTAGCGGAGAGCAATGTGCTTCGTTCTGTGCTCCAGTCGCTGCTCCCGACACAAGGCCAGCATGGCCTTGTTGTCTACGTACAGCACTGGAGGAGAACGAGGCAACTCTCCGAGGTCAGTCAGCAGGTAGGTGAGCCAGCGAAGCTCCTGTGCAGCCATGGCTCCTGCGTAGATCTCAGCCTCACAACTGGAGCCGAGAACAGAAGACGAGCGAGTAGCCCGCCACGAAACAGAGCCGGAACCAAGGCTGAAGGTGTAACCCTGTGACGACCGCTGCGTAGCCTGGTCGTCAGCCCAAGAAGCGTCTGCGTGCCCAGTAAGGACCACTGGACTCTGCCCTCCAAGCACAAGCCCCATGCCCGACGTACTGCACAAGTAGCGCAACACCCTCTTCGCTGCAGCCATGTGCTCCGGTCTGTGTCTCCCAGGAGCAACATAGCGTGCAAGAATGCTAAGAGGGTATGCAAGGTCAGGTCGTGTGCAGGTCATCAGGTACATGAGGCAGCCAACAAGCTCTGGGTACGGGCCACTCGACTCTACGGACTCATCCGAAGGCAGAGCTGAGAGCGAGTGGCGAGTAGGCATAGGAGTGGCCTGAGGCGAGGAGTACGTGAAGCCGAAGTGCTGAAGGACCTGCTGCACCATGTGTGACTGAGTCAGGGTAATGGTGCGGCGTGCTCTGTCCCGAGTGATCTGCAAGCCAAGGTAGCTGCGCAGTTCACCCAAGTCAGTGCACACGTGTCTCTTCTGCAGCTCGGACTTCACGTGGGCTAGTCCAGCAGTGTCAGCTGTGGCAAAGACCAAGTCGTCGACGTACACGAGGATGTAGAACGGCGGCAAAGAAGTGTCGGTGCGTAGAAACAGCGACGGGTCGGCAGTAGAGGGAGCAAACCCAAGAGCCGCAAGTGTAGTCCTCAGTGTGTCGTGCCACTCACGCGGTGCCTGGCGGAGACCGTAGACTGGCCACCGTAGGCTCCACTGGGTGCCAGGAGGAAAAGACCCAGTGAAGCCAGGTGGGCGACGCAGCCAGATCTCCTCGTGCAGGCTGCCCTGCAAGAAAGCAGTGCTGAAGTCAAGAGAGTGTAGCTCGTAGTCACGGTGAGCAGCTACGTGCAGCAGTACCCGAAGAGTGGTCATCTTCGGGGTGGGAGAGAAGGTCTGAAAGTAGTCAACTCCCTGCGGCTGACTGAAGCCACGAGCCACGTAACGCGCCTTGAAGACAGGCGGAGAACCCGGCGGTCGCTTCACCCTGAAAATCCACATGCCACTGACGATGTTCGCCCCAGGCGGGGGAACCTCGTCAACGTAGGTGCCTGTGGACTTCCAGGAAGCCATCTCTGCGTCCATAGCTGCCTGCCACTGAGAGGAGTAGGGACCCTCTATCGCCTCCGCGTAAGAGCGCGGAGTCGGGATGTCAAGTGCATCCGGGTCTCCCTCAGGGGTAAGCAGTACGGACACGAGATGAGGTGAAGCAGCGGCCAAGCACTGGAACTCCTCCTGCCTGTCCTCAAGGACGTCCGTGCCAAGGGCACACTCACCCCCGACGGACGGAGG